CGTTACTCAACCCAACCTTTAGATAAGGGCCACTTTCGCTGGTGATAATGGGATTGTTGCTAACTTGAGCTAAGGGTGTCGTGGATGATCTTTGCAGGGTCAGACATTCCATAAAGGGGCTGATGGAAGGCTTGTAAATTATTCAGTCCGTTCCTGCCTCACACAACAAAGACGGGAGGCTGTGTCTCAGTAGAGTCTGAGAAGCATCTACAAAGACCAAGATCCAATTACCTCTTCCGTTAAATGCTACACAGACAGCTAACAAGTCACTCAAACCGAACTCCCTATCGGCTAAGGGTTGAGAAAAAAAATGTGTGCACCCAAAAGTGGCGTAATTTCTAAAAATCCTTGCTGCGTCGTATACAAGAAGACCACAGCGTGTGGATGTGGAACAATTACAAGCCACAAACCCAACAGAGAAGTGGTAAAGCAACAAATATGACACAACAGCGTCTTCTTTAGAGTCTGAGGTCCTGGTTGGTTGCTTTTTTCCTCTGAACAGTTTTGTAACACTGTGGCTACTATTTCTCTACAAGTTTGTTTGTGTTTGTTGAGTCAGAGGAGTCATCTAAATTAGTAAGCATGCTTCCCTTGTTCCAAAGCTCCACCTGTATGGGTAACAGTGGGAGTGAATGTACAGATGAAGCTCATTGGATATGAACAGTGTGGGTTTCTCAGGAGACGTCTGGCTCCAGCCTCTGGTGCTCAAATGACGAGCCAAGAAACAAATGTCCTCCCAAAAATTAGCCTTGTTTGGTTTCCTTTTTAGTCTCAGGCACACTAAGTTTATTCATTCATTTGGGATGTCACTAGAAACTTTTAGGTTTACAACCTAAGGCTCCATCTATGATGTATTCTAACAGAAATAAATGCTTAAACAAATATCATATTATCAATGAGTTTGCGTAACATCTGAGGGGATCCAAACTGAAATCCCTATATCTATGCAAATTAACTATTGAGCATTAATATTTACAATACCAAAATAAATGTTTGTTAAGAACAAAAGCTAAAATGTTATCAAGATCTTATTTTATGTATCTTAGTTTCTCCTAGCGCTGGGTGATATATCAAGATCTGGGGATATATCGATATAATTCCCCAACACGATGCGGGATTATCCAATATTATTCATATCAATATGGTTTGAGGCCACACGTGCGCATTCAGCGCAAAACACACTTCTCCAAGGTAGCACGCAAGCTCTACTTGCACAAACGTGCACTTGCGCAAATAACCGATTCACTCCATGAACACTCCGTGTCCATCACTGACACGACATGGAGGAATATGCAGCGCCGGTGTTGTATCAAAATTTGACTCCCGGATAAATCTGCCTCCCTCACGTGCTCGCGCATCACACAGCGCCTGCAGCTGTCACAGAGGTTTATCATTTTTTCCGCAATTGACAGCAAGAACGAACATAGAAGCCTTGTCAAATTGATGAGCAGCACCTGAATGTTTTCAAAAGAATTAAAAATGCCAAAATGGGACGAATTTATACTCCATTTTCAAAGTGTAACCAGCTCATAATCACTGATCATAAGTTCAGTATTTATTACATGACGATCTTTTCTTTACATTTATGTTATAACACATTTAGCTGTGTTCTGGTCTGTAAACCGGCATTTCACTACACTACTCTGAACTAAACAGTAACTAAAAAAACATACAGCTGATTTGTTTGTTGTGTTTATAAATCACACAACTGTGGTATACAGGGTTACTTACAAAAACACTGTAATTGTGACATGAAATACTGTGTTTCATATTTACATTTATTGTGGTTCTTTTCTGTCCTTCAAAACTTTTTGTTGTGTTACTATTTTAAGTGTGTTCCTTTTTTGCCTTGACAATTGAGCTGTTTTCTATGGTTCTGTTAACTTTGTTATTTACACAACAGCACAGTAGTGCTGTGTATAGTGTTAAGCAGGGAAACAAAAAACATTTATTTATCAAAGACTTTTTTATAATTTGAAATGTTGTGCAACTTATAGTTTTAAGCAGGAGAAAAAAACTGTACTGTATTTTATTTATTAAAGATATTGTGTAGCTGTTTATTTGTAAACAGGGAGGGAAACCCGTGTTTGAATTAAACTTTGCTCAAAAAATGTTTACTTGAGAGTTAAAGCCTTTATTAAAACTTTATTAAACATTTACGTGAAAATACCTGATATATATATTGTATACCATCATTCCTCCTGAAAATACCAGGATATGATTTTTTGCCCATATTGCCCAGCCCTAGTTTCTCCCGGTTTTTTTTTTAAACTGTGCCCATTGGCATACAAAGCAGCATATTTGACAGTCAACAGATTTTACTATTAGACCAATGTGTTAAAAACAACATAATGCTGCTGCCATTTTTCCAGAGCCATTTTTATTGTCATTGACAAAATGCTGTTTTACTCTGTAAACATAAATTCATGGCATTCTTTATTTAGATTTTCCATCCATTTAACGGTAGCCTTTACTCCTAAATAAATTAATTAAATAAATAATATTATTAATAATAAAATCTTTCTAAAAATAAAAAGGTTTTATGAAATCAACAGTCCAATTAAAATTCTGATCTGTACTTTTAAATGATCAATTCAACTTATATAACTTGATAAAATCGATATCTGTAATTACACTGTTTGTCATCCTGAGAAAATGGTTGATGGTCACCTAGTTACGAGAGACGCCAGGGGAGCTTGAGCGCAATGAAAATGGTGAAGGAAACCACGTGGTTGTCACTTCAGATCAGAATAACAACACATGAAAATGAGAGCCGTGTAGCAGCAGTGAGGAGATTGTAAAAAAAATGGATGAAAGAATGTTGCTAGAGTGGCTTTTTGGTTTCTTTTCTTTTGCATCCCAGCCACTAGCACCCCATCTAAGATTTTTTAGCATAGGGGTAATGTAGTCAAATTATAAAGTTCCAATATGCAGTGGTGCCTTTACTTGAAAGCTCAGATTTGATTATCATAATTACTGTCGTTTACGGAGTTTGAGGTTTACCTTTACCATTGCGCAAACTTTGTAACACTTTATTTATCAAGATTAAGATTCTCTTTAACACTTATGTTTATTTCATTATAAAGACATAAGATTTTTTGTTTAAATATTGTTTTTGACTAGTTGTCTTAGCAAAGTGAATAAATAAAAATAAAGTGGTTACATATGGAAAAAAATCCTATTATTCCTAATTGTATTGTTAAAAATATTCAATAATTACCAATACCTAATTATATGAAGCTATATGAAATTTTTTTGCAATATCGCCCAGTCCTTATCCAACTTTGAATGGCATACAACCTAGATCACCAGCCACCTTCACCCTCTGTCCACAGCGATCATGTCTTTAAAGCAAACTCTGGAAAGCAAACTAAATGAGACATGGCAGTTGAAGATTGTAGTTCTGTGCCTCTCTAGAAAATTGGACATACCAGAGATTCTATGTCTGAATCAATGTTTTCAAGCATGTCTGTGGGTATGAAGCCTGACAAAACATTCAGCTCCAATTATGTCAGATGCGTTTGCCATGATTAACATATGGCCGAAACTGCCCTTTTGCTGCCATTTTTGTATGACTGGCATAGAGTAAGCAGTATTACCCTTTCACTGGCCAAAACCAGACTAACAAATAAAAGAGCATCATACACCATTTGTGATGTTAACAATAGCATTTTAAAGATCAGCAAACTGGTTTAGCATGCAACACATTTTTTCAATTTCCCTAAATGTTTCCCTTTAATGCACAGGTGGGATAAATGCCTGGTGAACTCAGGATGTTTTTTGATTAGGCAGATTGTCAGTCGTGATGGGGGAATGCAAAGATTAAATTGATTTCCTTCTCACTCTCTCGCTTGACACATTTGCAGCATGAGTTGCCAGTGACAGGAGGGGAAGATTGACCAATGCAGCGACATAATCGATATATGCTGACCTTTCCCTGGGTGTCTAACGACCAAATATACAAAACACTCCCCACTACACCCTCTCAGCTGGGTAAAGATTATATAACAAACGAACTTATAATTCCAGGCATGATTAGATTGCTAAGTGAATCTCAGACTGTTTTTCCATGACACTGAAACCTACAACACCGCAGCATCAAAACGTTCAACATTGAGACACTGTATTTGTAGTTCTTATGCACTATTACAAACCCTTTAAAACACAAATGAATGTGTAAATGTATGCATTGCCATGTAGCCCATTTTCACTTAGAAAATATCATAGGAATTATTCTCTAGAGACCCATTAGACTCTAATGAAAACCAGAGAACTGAGCCTCACAGAATGGGCCTATTACATACAACTGGACAAAATCTAAAACAAGGTGACTGGGAGAGTTAAACACATCTCCATGGTTTTGCTGCCCTGTGGCTATCAAAATTATTCCAGAGAGATGCCAAGATAAATGATGTGTTGAAACATTACACTTCAAGCAAACAATGTGTCACATTCGCTTTACAGCTTGCATAATTAAGAATTGATTATTTCCTTCTCTGACACGGTAGTGCTTACGACTCATAAAGGCAATTTGCTAACCAGCTTCACTTGATGGAAACTGCAAATGTGATCTGGATTTGACAGTGGCAGAACATGTTTTGGTCAAGAAATGGGAAAACCCCCAGAGCGTGAGAACTGAGCTGGGAAACAAGGGGCTTTGCTGGGGAGAAGCTGCAACAAACCAGCCCCAGTGAAAACGATGGCCTACACAATAGATCAGAGATTCTCAATTCTGTAAAATTATTTTGTAAGTCTCCACGTTAGCTTGGAGTAGCAATCAAATGGTTAAATAAATCAGGTTTGACAAATAAAAGTAGACACCCATGATGTCCAGTGTTGGGCTACTTTAGGATTGAGAAACACTGGTTAATATAGTCTAGTGGTTCTCAATCCCAGTTCAGAAGTGCTCCAGAACCTCAGCTGTGAGGGAATAGTAACACCCAGTGTTGTGTTGAGATTTGAACGATTTAATATGTCAATAAATTGTGAGATAAACATACCCAATCTTCAAAGTGCCTACTACCATTCTGCAGCAGGTCTTCAAACTGTATAGTGCAGTTGGCCACAAAGTCATCATAACCGATGGGTGCATCGTGAAAGACAGAAAGTTCGATTTTCTTCCCATCATAAACCTCTGTTACGAACTCATCATTCCAAGCCGGACTGTTAGTCTTCTGCTTGGTAGAAGTTTGTCCCACTCGGGAATCATCCACATTGAGGGCGATATACGTGTCCAGGAGGAAGGTCTGGGTCTTCGGACCCACAGCGTGCCGGAGAGACCATGCGGTGGGTTTCAGATCCAGAGCTTCACAAACCTTGATCTTCAACACTCCATTAAAAACCACCATGATGACGCTCAGTCGAGATGCAGCTGGCTTCTTTGAGAAAACAGACGGCTTCAAAAGCAGGTTTTGATTCAGGGGGTCGCTATACCCGTAGATGTCATCACGTCATCAGTATACATGCATGTATAGATGGATGCGGTGATGATTTAATCCCCCAAACCACTAGACGGATCAACGTGATTCTCTCATTTGAGCAGAACAATCAAATAGGATGCAAAAACGCGATATGCAAAGCCAGAGGCTCCTGTTTTTGTTTACGGTCCGTCTTTCCACGTAATGGGAAGCATACGTAAACAATCCAATTCCCTACGTCTGGAATAGCGCTGAGTGAGAGAAACGAGAGTCCGATAGACTGAATATCGGTAATAGCAATGAGGAAGATAGCCCAAATGTGATGGTTTTCAGCGGAGCTCGTCTTGTACTATTGGTTTTCCAATAGGCGTTGAGTGGGAGAGGCGTTTGGGATTCCTCCTCCCAGTGTGCTGCCGATCCGCGCGGAGACTATTGCCATCCACTTGCCGAGATATTTACCCGCTTCTTTTCTTTGTTGATTTGAGAAGGCGAAACCATTTGAGCTACACGCTCATGTAGTCTTTTGCGCTGCAGCCTTCCTCCCTGTTCACCCTCTCCGTCTCTCTCTCTCTCCCTCCCTGCGCTCGAGCGCCAGTTCAGGAAATGCGCAAAACACGTCAGATGATTTAAGCCGCGCCGCGTCCACTCTGCGCCGGATGGGGGAGCGTGTGTGTTCAGACAGAGGAGCAGCAGCGTGGGGAACAGAGGGAGGCAACCGAGGGCTGGATCAAAACAGTATGTTTGGCCCAAATCATGTCCAAGGGAGCTACCTGTGATGGCTAGATTGTAAAGACGAATAATAAAAAATATGTTGGACTGGTTTGTCGGGTTTTTAAGAACACGCTACAATCATTAAGATGCCTGTGGACTTTTAAAATATATAAATATGTAATCATCGTGTATTGTAAATGTCATCGATACAGGCGACTAGTATACAGATATAGTTGGTAAATGGGTCTTAAGTATTTTAGTTTTTCTTAAGTTAGTCCTCCTACTTTCTTTCTGACTTACTCTTTTCTCCACTGTACTTGTTTCAGCTGTTCTGCATTCTACACTGATTTTAGGTATAATGCTTATTTATTTAGTTGCATGTTTACTAACTTATTTTATTTAAATTATTGTTTTTAATTTAATCAAATGTGAATCTAATTGTACTATAGACATGATTTGTGTATATAATATTTTTTCCTATTTATAAGTTTTTATATAATGAATTAAGTAATCATAATGTTTGTTTGTTTTTATTTTATTTTATATAGCTCACACTTGATTTTAAGGTACAATTGCCACTAGTAACAAACCATTAACTATCACTTTTGCCCTAATAAACTTCTAATTTGCTGCTTATTAACCATTGTATAGTGGTTAGCTATTGGGTAGATTAAGGGATGTAGAATAAGACCATGCAGAATATGCATTTTATAAGGTCAAATAAACAACCAATGTGTAAATAATAGGCAGGTAATAGGCCAAAAACTTGTTCCTTAAGCTAAAGGGTTACAATTTGTTTGTATGTTTGTTTGTTTGTTTGCTTGCTTATTTTTTCCCAACCCAGCATTTCCTTGTGGCCTTAGAGGTTTCATAACTTTTTATTTTTATTCATTCATTTATTTTCTTTTCAACTTAGTCCTTTTATTAATCTGGGGTTGCCACAGAACCATTTAACTTAACCAGCATAAATTATTACGCATCAGATGCCCTTCCACCTGCAACCCATCACTGGAAAACAACCATATACTCCCATCCACACATATACACTACAGACAATTTCATTCATTTTCTTTTTGGCTTAGTCCCTTTACTAATCTAGGGTCGCCACAGCGGAATGAACCATCAACTTATCCAGCATAAGTTTTACGCAGCGGATGCCCTTCCAGCCACAACCCATCTCTGGGAAACATCCATACACACTCATTCACACACATACACTTTGGACAATTTTAGCTTACCCAATTCACCTATACCGCATGTCTTTGGGGGAAACCGGAGCACCCGGAGGAAACCCATGCAAACATGGGGAGAACATACAAACTCCACACAGAAATGCCTACTGACCCAGCCGAGGCTCGAACCAGCGACCTTCTTGCTTTGAGGCGATCATGCTACCCACTGATCCACTATAAAGCCTTTTTATTTTATTTTACTTTATTTTATATATATACATTTAAAGTAGTTACGATCGCCTGGCCTTTCATATATATTGTGTTGTTATAAAATGCAGTTTTGTAAAAAGAAGCTTGAATTTGCTTACTTTAAATCACCCAAGTTTATACAATTTTAAATGAATAAATATCAAATAAACAGTGGCTAAAATTTGTTTTAGAGCATGTAGCTTCTTATAATAGGTGGATTGAGAGCTATTAGTGAATGGTTGTTAAGTATAAATGCACAAATCTCTTACTTTATCTGTAAACCACTTGGCTTTCCAAAATGTCAGAGGCCATTCTGACAAATTTACTCTTCTTTTACTTAATCCAAATCAAGACATCCTGGTTATTTGCCCCCTATGGCATAATTATATTCAGAAACTGTATAACAACACTGATTTGCTAGAAACTGCAGTCTATCAGCATCATCTGGCCAACATGTCTTTGATTCAAGGATAATCACAACAGCGGTTGAAACAGAAAGTGCTCTACTTATGTAATTTACTGAACTCTAGTGGTGGAAATTTGCACTACACTGAAATCATTACATAAATTATTTATGCAAGCAAACATAAATCAGAACAGCCTGCTTAAGTTGACGAATGACATGCAAATAAACAAAACAAAACATTTTAATGGATGTCTTCATGCGCATATTGAATTATATTAAAGAGATCAGACAGTAGCGCAATTGAGACGCAGAAATGAATATAGGACATTTTTACAATAGGTGGCACTGTGAATTCAAATACACTTTACAAAGAACATCAGAAACTCCAAATGATTCTGTTTTCTGCGTTTGTGCAGCTCAAACGCAAAATTCACAATGATATGGTCATATAATGAGAATAAATACATTATATGATACTTTTACGTTTTAGTGTTACTCTTTATATGCATATTATAGGGCAAAGAATGTCAGAATACTGCTAAATGCACGTCAATAAAAAACAACAGCAAAACTGACTTCTGTGTGGAGAGAAAATCTATATATAACGTCGATGCTGCACACTTTCCACTGTTTATTAATATTCGATGATCCTCTAGAACTGTTTGCGGGGAGCTTTATTTGAATTGGTTTCCATGCCCGTCCATTGTTTTGGTATAGGTTATGGCATGTATAAACAAACTGGTGGTTTGCTTTACATGTTGGTCAGTTTCTTCCCGGCTCTGAACGTCAGACTTACCAAACCCAAACAAACACACTGCATTACCATGCCAGCCTTGCAGGGGGTGCTGTTGTATTTTTAAGCTTTAGACTCCAGAGGAGATTAGAAATGTGTGATGAGCTCTTACATTTACTTATCCTACTAGTAGCCTATTACTTAACTAATTAACTGATTTAATTATTACAAACTAATACTTATTATTTAAATTCAATGGGGACCTGTCTGGTGTGACTATGTATGCTAGTGGTGACTTTTGATACTAATATTTATTGCTAAAAAAATAGTACTTAGTTTTTAAACATGAGTAGGCTTACCTAATATCTAATATTATTGCTTATTTTAATTCATTTTAGTTCAATAAAAACGTATTACAGTTTTTTTATTATAAACTAGTAGCCTGTTTCTTCCATAGATAGTACACTCACCGGCCACTTTATTAGGTACACCTGATTAGTACTGGTTTGGACCCCCTTTTGCCTTCGGAATTTTCTTAATCCTTCATGGCATAGATTCAACAAGGTGTTGGAAATATTCCTCAGAGATTTTGCTCCATATTGACATGATAGCATCACGCAGTTGCTGCAGATTTTTTGTCTGCACATCCATGATGCGAATCTACCGTTCCACCACATCCCAAAGGTGCTAAACTGGATTGAGATCTGGTGACTGTGGAGGCCAGTTGAGTACAGTCAACTCATTGTCATGTTTAAGGAACTAGTCTGAGATGATTTGTGCTTTATGGCATGGCGCATTATCCTGCTGGAAGTAGCCATCAGAAGATGGGTACACTGTAGTCATGAAGGGGTGGACATGGTCAGCAAAAATACTCGGGTAGGCTGTGGCGTTGACACAATGCTCAATTGACATTAATGGGCCCAAAGTGTGCCAAGAAAATATCCCCCAGACCACCCCCACCATCAGCCTGAATCGTTGATACAAGGCAGGATAGATTCATGCTTTCATGGTGTTGATGCCAAATTCTGACCCTACCATCTGAATGTCGTAGCAGAAATCGAGTCTTATCATTTTTTTTCCAATCTTCTGTTGTCCACGTTTGGTGAGCCTGTGCAAATTGTAGCCTAAGTTTCCTGTCAGAAGTGGCACCCGGGTGTGGTTTTCTGCAACTGTAGCCCATCCGCCTCAAGTTTTGACATGTTGTGCATTCAGAAATGCTCTTCTGCATACCTCGGTTGTAACGACTGGGTATTTGAGTTACTGTTGCCTTTCTATCAGCTGGAACTAGTCTGACCATTCTCCTCTGATCTCTGGCATCAACAAGGCATTTGCGCCCACAGAACTGCCACTCAATGGATATTTTCTCTTTTTCTGACCATCCTTTCTAAACCCTAGAAATTGTTGTGCGTGAATATCCCATTAAATCAGCAGTTTCTGAAATACTCAGACCAGCCCGTCTGGCACCAACAACCATGCCACATTCAAAGTCACTTGAATCACATTTCTTCACCCATTCTGATGCTCAGTTTGAACTGCAGCCGATCGTCTTGGTCATGTCTACATGGGTAAATGCATTGAGTTTCTGCCATGTGATTGGCTGAGTAGAAGTTTACGTTAACGAGCAGTTGGACAGGTGTACCTAATAAAGTGGCCAGGGAGTGTATACTACAATATACAGTGCCTATTTATTAGACACTAGTAGTCTACTTATTAAACAACCATCCCTATTAAATAGATTCTATTAGTAAATGTTTAATTGATAAACTTATAACGATAGTAATTGTAAGGTTTTTAAAATTTTATTTATTTATTTTACTAGTAAGATTTTGGCCACCGTAACGAAATTTACTTTATTGTTACATAAATAAAAAAAATCTGTAGTATACAATTAGTATAAAAAAATAGACTACTAAATGAAAAATGCATTAAAACATGCAGTAAATTTTCAAACTATCTAAGAGTATGCATTATTTATCATTGTTTATTAAAAAGAATATGTGCCTGTTAATTTACGGTAATTCTAACAATAGAGATATAAACATTGAAACGTAAAAGAATAGTCCCCACCTCAATTAAAATGACAATGAAAAAGAGAAGCAATATCATTGGTATCAATTTCAAAATGTTTTTTTGCTCATGAATGACAAAAATGCTAACATGAAATACACTACAGGGGTTTGGGGTCAGTTGTTGTTTTTTTATTATACATTTTATTGAATAATTTTATAAAATAATTTATTGTTAAATACTAATTTATTAAATATTAATTTATTACTTATTGTATGTAGTTTCAAATGATATTTGAAAAGCATTATTGCTTTTATTACTATTGTCATAATGATAATACTATTTTTATAATCATAATAATAACAATAATAATTAA